GTCAATTAATAATACTTTAATATTAAATTAAAATATTAAAATCAAAACAGCTCTGAAAATTTGTCTTAATTTTCTTCTACCTGATTTCCCAATCTGAAACAAAAAGAAGACATCATGACAGAATATGGTTACTTAGTATAACACAACTGGTTCTGACAGGTTCTTAGCCACACCTATGATACTCAAAGTCAGCTACACCCAGAAAAAGAAAATGTTAGAAACATACATGATAATAAGTGGCTTAGTAAGAAAACAATACATCAAGACAACTATTTGCCAAAATGATCTCAGGATACTGTGTGTTGTTTAAACTATCAGGGTTATTTAGATTGGTTTTTAAACATAATTTGGTAAATTTGTTGGATAAGCCTCACCAAAAGTAATTAATGTCAACATGTGATATTTTTAAATTACAGATTAGCAAAACAAATGTACTAAGTAAGGTGTCGATGAAAATACTATTTACCTAAATTTAATTACGTGTCATCTTGTACCCTCCAGTACATGGCATTGTTAGGCACAAAGTTCACACAAAGTCAGTTATGCAGATACATAAGAAAACAGAGTGGGGCTTCTACTTTGTGAGTGGCGAGAGGCAAGACGGTCTTGAATTTGAGTACCAGGTGAGCTAGAACTAATTCCCCTATCATACAGTGGCTATATAGACCTGCTTCCTGAGGCTACTTGTTGCTTGAGACTACCTGCGTCACTAACTCTAATCAGCTAATTGTGTTGTTCACCTATTAGCTTTGCAGCTTCCTCTCAGGAAATCCTCTGTACAGGGCTTATCAAAGTTTCATGTATGGTCTTGTTGAAATGCAGATTCTGATTCATTAGGTCTAAACTGGGACCTCAATCTACTTTCCTTACAAACTCTGTGGTGATGTGAACAACAGTGAGTAGCAAAGAGCTTGTAAGACTAAGGTGAACTTGATGGGACATCAGAACATGTGGTGAATCTCACCTCAGACTTTCTATTTGATGAATCTGCTGAGGAATCCCAGAATTAGCTTTTCTAACAAGCTCCAACATAATGCCAATGCTGCTGATCCAGGAATCACACTTCAAGAACCACTGATTTAGAATTTCAGTATGGATCTCAAAGAGGTGAGAAATATGGAGAGTATAGAACAGTAACCTATCCCTCAGGTAGAATACCTACTGGTGATGAAATATCTTTGTGAATTTGGATTTTAAATTTTACTTTAATGAACTATATAAATGTCATCCACCCTTAATTCCTAAGTTGTCTATTCATTTTAAGAGAGACAAAGCCAAAACAAGGAAACATTTTCATTTCCACTTTAGATTAGAGAGTTCCTTGTAGTTTTTCTTGAACTATACCTGGCAGAAAATCATTCTGCACGAATTTTTGGTATGAATTCTAGGTAAAACCTCAGGTATTTCATAGTAAATTCTGATTTTTTTTTTTTAATTTTAATAATTCCATGCTATTGCATTTAAAGTTCCCAAGCATGGGCAAATAAAAACATTACACAATTACCAGTATTCATTGTTGCACCTTGACGACTAAATTTAAAAAATTTTGAGATCCTGTGTATTCTTGAGCCAAATACAGAGGAGGGCCACACTTGTTTCTAATTGTTTTTTTCCTCCAAAGTTAGGAAATAAACAACTTCTAACTCTGCAGATTGGTGTTAACAAAAGGCATTTTATTCCTATCGATCAAAAAACTTACTTTAAGAAGTAGATATCTTTAAATAATTTGATTTATCTTTGCGAAATGTATATCATGAATCTCCACACATTTGTTTTCATAATGCTTCTTATACATTTAAGTTAGTCTATTTATATTTGAAAATGGTTATTATTTGTTAATAGTAAAAATTCAAGGTCATGTGATTTTTATTTTTTATGCAATATACTATCTTTTCAAAGTGTTTATAAAAATTATGCTTTTTAAAATTTTATTGGGCCCTACG